CAGTTTAGACTACTAACGAAATGCAAGAGTTTAGTGATAGTGGTACTGAAGAAGACAAAGAAGAAGACGAAGATGAAGGTACACGACCGTGAAGAAGATGATGAAGACAAAGACGACGAAGAAGACTAGGAAGACAAGAAGACTAGGAAGACAAAGAAGACTAGGAAGACAAAGAAGACGAGGAAGACAAAGAGACGAGAAGACAAAGACGACGAGAAGACAAAAGACGACGCAGGAAGACAAAGACGACGAGGAAGACAAAGACGACGAGAGAGAGACAAAGAGACAGACGAGAGAAGACAAAACGACGAAGAAGACAAGACGACGAAGAAGACAAAGACGACGAAGAAACAAAGACGACGAAGAAGACAAAGACGACGAGAAGACAAAGACGACGAAAGAAGGACAAAGACGACGAAGAAGACAAAGACGACGAAGAAGACAAGACGAACGAGAAGACAAAGACGACGAAGAAAGACAAAGACGACGAAGAGACAAAGACGACGAAGAAGACAAAGACGACGAAGAAGACAAAGACGACGAAGAAGACAAAGACGACGAAGAAGACAAAGACGCGAAGAAACAAAGACGACGAAGAAGACAAAGACGACGAAGAAGACAAAGACGACGAAAGAAGACAAAGACGACGAAGAAGACAAAGACGACGAAGAAGACAAAGAGACGACAGAAGACAAAGACGACTAGAAGACAAAGACACTAGGAAGACAAAAGACGACTAGGAAGACAAAGACGACTAGGAAGAACAAGAGACAAAGGAAGACAAAGATGACGAAGAAGACAAGATGACGAGGAAGACAAAGATGACGAGAAGACAAGATGACGAGGAGACAAAGATGACGAGGAAGACAAAGATGACGAGGAAGACAAAGGGACAACGAGGAAGATAAGAGGTCAAGAGAGCACTGATCGTATGAATAACAATTTTGAAGATGGAATACATGTACCTTCACCATCAGAATTGGGGATTTGGCATCGAGTGGTCAAGGAAGCAGGAAAGGTCAAGAACCGCCTCAAAGAACTTACTGCTAGAGAGGAATTCTGCTTACATTTTGATGGGAAGAGAATTGAGAACAGAGAATATAAGGCAGTCTGTCTTAAAAAGTCTGCAAGAACTCTGCACCTTGGAGTTTTGGCTCATGAAACAGGATCAGCTGATGACATCTTTGTCAAATACAAGCCCTGCTAGACGAATACAGTGGAAGAAATACATGGAAGTGTTAAAATGATAATCTCTGATACCACAGCAGTCAATACGAGGCACAAAAATGGAGTTGCTAAACTCCTAGGAGAATTCAGATTAAAGGGTCCAGAGGCACCTCAGTTTATAGAGTGTCAATATTATATTCATGACTTGGTTCAGTTTCACTTGATGGATTTCCAATTCCCAACAAAATCATGATTATCCAACACTAATTAATTCATTGATGATGCTTTAGTAAGGTATGATGACTTACAAAAAAGTTATTCCGAAAAAAGAAAAGATACTGCCACATGAAAATCCAGGATGGTGAAAGGACTTCAGGTTTCTTTTCGAACTCCATGAAACATAGAATTTCTACCAGACATAAAAAGTGGCCTCTACTCAAGTGGTAGAATTTACTTTTCCTTCATAGTGTCAGGTGGAATTCACAGGCACTCATTGCACTAATTACTTATTGTCTCTTTACGAAATGGAGAGATCAGCTCAAATCTGCTTGTTATCATCGCAAATGCATGGACAAAAGCATGGTTTGCAAACCAGCATTACTTAAAGGCACATATAATGAGATGCAGGCTTCTATCTCCTAAGGCTTTAAAATCTTTTTCTACTAGCTGGATAAAGGAATAGCCCGAGCTTGATGTGCCTTGCTCAAACATAGTGGCTGAGCAACCTGTAAAGCTAATGGAAGAGCTGCACAGCACTTGCAAAAGTGACAAATATTTTAACAGCAAGTTCATAAACAGTAAGAGACAAATTTACAATTGTTCTGAATGCTACCAAGCTTTGTTTTCTGAAATTGGTATTATGAAACAGGATGATGTCCTGTATTTTTTTCAAGTTGGGGAATCCAGAATTATCTACTCAGTGTCACGTGGGACTGTACACCATGTCAACTTAAGCAATTCACCAAGCTTCATGCCAAGCTCAAAAGCAAACCCCCCATACAAACAGCAAGTGTGCAAAATTGCAATTTATAGATGTTCCAAAACTAGTCGAGGAGCGTTCAGCTGAGTGTGTCAATAAGTCACTGGATCCTGTGCAAGTAAAAAAATTTCACATTCTCTGTTATTATCAGAATGCGGGAAGTGTTGTAAATGAACTTAGTCCATTATAGACACGTGATATTAATACATTAAACTTTATAACTGAAACATGTCTCAAACCGCATGTATTTTCTGCAGAGTTCTTCACTGGTTAAGAGAGTCGGATATTTATCAGGTGGTTAGATACAATCATTGCCAGAATTGAGTGGAAGTTTTTTATGACAATAAAATCGAGCAAAGTTAATAGGGGAAAATACACAGAGCATCGACAGATCTGAGAAATTTGATGTTAGATCTCTGAAATTGTACAGATAAATCGCTTCGTTAGGGGACTGTAGAAACTAATAAACTTGTACAATAATTTACAGCGATTTCTGTTGTTCAACAATAAACACAATGAAAAATCTGCAGATAAATCTGTAAAAAAATATTTGCTGATAATTGCAAACCATGCTACGACACATCTGATCTTGTTTGTGTTTGAACGGCGGTAAAATTGGGTACTCATGGCAGTTTAAGAAATGGCAAGCAAGGAGTTGATTATGGATTTACTCAAGTTATATAGTAACAATTCTTGTTTATGGAAAATGATTAGTTCTGAATATACAAAACAAAAATAAAAAAGGAAAGCTATGAGGAGAGTTGCGTGTAGCAAACATTTTTCAAAGCAGCAAACACTTCTACAGCAAAAATTACAAAACCTTAGAAAAACTTTTCGGAAAAAGGTAAGAAGAGTAGTGGAAACTAAAAAAAAAAAGGAGAGCTGGAGGTGATGGTATCATAGGCAACTGTTTAAGAACTGGCATGTGATGCCAATTCTTATAATGCCAGATATGAGGTGTAGCCATGTTTTGACCCATTTTGAACGATTCCTTGTTCTTTCTATTACTATGAACCCCATCATTGGAATACATAATGCAGCCGTTTTGTGCATGTTCAACTTTTACAATGCACAAATTCTAACTCTTGAACCACTCTTCAATTTCACTGTTTAATTGGACATATTTTAGAAAATGGCAAAAGATCACCCATAATAAATAAGTTGGTTATATTTGGCCAAATAATCATTACTAACAACACATATGTACAAGTAAATTGGACAGATTAATTTGAGAAGAAACATTCATTCAATAGAAATGTATGATTTAACTTAGCGATATATCTAATGATTATTTGGTTCAATTTATCGCAACAATAAATTATATCCTCCTAATGAGTTTAGATCTATTGTATTGTGATGTATTGTTGAAACTTATTCCGATAGTGAACTGTTACATATTTTAGTTTATTTTAAGAGTACCACATTTTATATTGTTATTGTATATTTCCCCCCTACACATGCAGATATTTTTGGAAAGCTGATGACCTAATGTCCATTAGTGAGCTTTGGGGCAAACAATTGTTACTACTTGGGGATTTCAATGTTCCAGAATTTTGTAAATATAATAGTGAAGTACTCTGTGATAATGAGGCGAGTTTAGATAGTAATAAAATTAACTCACTTTTGAGATTGATAATTTTTTTTCAATTTCTACACAATATAACAGAGTACATAATCACAAATATGTAATAACATCAACCTATTTAATAAATTTAATTTACAAATCTAGCTGTTAGATGACAATTTGCAATGATTGGCTTTCAGATTAAAATTATTAAATAGGATTTTGATTGCTCTTATATTTTTGAACAGGTGTCATTTTTTGTTCCTTACCAGCGATACTGATTACTCCCTGAATCAATTCAATCTTTATGTGAAGAAGATCTAGAGCAGTGGTTTTCAAACAGTGTATCACAGCTGTATGGCAGGGGCATTGCTGTGATTTATTAAAAACGATCTTTAGATTCGATTTACATTAATCCTTGTGTCATGTATGTCCACAAAATAACGTATTATAGTGTGCTAGGAAAGTCTCTCCGCACTAAGCTGAGTCAGAACCTCCTATTTAAACGGCATTTATGTTGGTAACAACCAGTTCACTGGGAAACATATGAAGGGAACACTTTCAGCATCTGCGATTATTGTGGAGAGCACGCCATTTACTTTTTACAAGCTGCAGCCAACATGATTTCTGTTACTAGCACTCTCACCAGCAAGGTGCCACTTTGAAGAGACTTTCCTGGCACGCTGTATATGTAATATGTGATATATACAATATATTTTACTAATTGATTATGGTTTAATTGATCCTGGCAAGTCCTTTACCAATGACAATGAGCTTCTGTGGCTCTTTCAGCCATCTACATATATCCCTAGTGCGGGTCAAGAATATTTAATGTTTTTACCAACGCATATCAAGAGTTTCCTTGCCAATGCGAGCTGTGTTCAATCTGTGTTTGGTTATGAAAAAAAATTGCGAGTTGCAGTTTCAAATACTGAAACCAGATTTGAACAATTGTTGATGAAGAATCAAGCACATCCTTCCCATAACTTTAGAAGAATTTTGTCAAAAAATTAAAAGTTGAATAAAATGTGTAATGCCATTTTAATACTTAATTAAAATGGAGAAATAAAATAGTCTAATGTATCACTAATTCATTCTCTGTTTGGGCAAAATCCAGGGGTTTCCTCTAATATATAACTTATATACCCACAAATTCTGTAATGGTTTTACCAGCTGGTTTATATCTTGAATAAAATAAAACACATTTACAGTGACATTCAAAAATCTAGACATCTACAGCAGGGATGAAATTAGGATGTAATTACACTTCTCTGACAATACGATCCTTACCTGGGATGGCGAGAAACAACTTGAGGCATGCGCGCCTGTTCATCATAACTCATTGCCCTACTCGAGCGGTCAGGAGGAGGAACCAATTCTCCATCTTCGTTGCCATTCACTGCGGAGGCAGAGTCAGGTACTGTCACCTCATCTCTTACAAAGAATGTATTGAACCAAAAATGGAACAGCTTCTCCTGAAATTCAAAGCATATTAACACTTGTTACTTGCAATTACTGCACAGAGGCTTGTAGAGTTTTCACAATTTACCACTTTGTTTTGCAAAACAGGAATAATTCTACTATGCTATCTACATGTAAGACTTTCACAATTCTGATACAACACTACTAAGATTTACAGTTTCTATACACTAGTTGTATATATTTGCAATTCACAATTCTTTAGAAATGTTTTTTATGATGTGATAACATCAGAGGGTGACAAAAACCTGTCAATATTTGCTTACCCAGTTCCGTAAGGCATTCATCCTCATTGTGGTATACACAGTAAAGCATGTAACCTTATAAAAGTACAGTGTTCAAGAGCCACTGACGTCATGTAAGGGTACTCAAAGATCACAGGGAAAGCTGGTAACTAAAAGAGCTTTTTCCCCCTCTTTTCTTCTATAATTATATCATCTTATGTGTATCTTATTCTGCGTAGTTGCATCATTGTATAAACAATGCGTCAACAGTAATTATATATCTATTCTAAAAATTCTGCAATTTTGGGAATATTAGATGAACATAAAGCTGCTGAACTTTATTTCAGTATTGGATCAGATATTGACTTTATCAATGCAAACATGATTGATGCTGTGTGTATTTCACCTGTTAGCAGATTGACAGATTAGTTAAATATAGATGGTGATCTTTTGGAGGAAAGAAAAGAAGAAAAGTTAATTGAGAGCACATTTGTCAAATCGTGGAAAATATATTATAATGCGAATGAAGAAAAGATGCCACAACTAGAATTTTGCTCTTACTTAGCCTTGACCCTAATGAAATCTGAAGACTGCAAAAGGTCGTGAATGCAATAATAAGTCCATGAATACACAGGACGCTGAAAAATTTCATTTTGGTCAATCTACAACAATTCCCTACCTCAAGAAGTTCTTTATGATGAGGTAGGGATAGTTGGTCCAGGGCGTCAAATGATGTCACTACAGTGCCTCTGACCAGGATGGGGTCTCAGTGCTTCAGTCCTGGCAATGGCAGGATGTTCGACCCTAGTTACATAGCTAAGTTGAGTTCAGCCACCATCTGGAGGAGAATTCTAGCGGCCAGCTTCTCTGCTCTGCTCTCTTTCCTTGGTTTCGCTCATCAACACCACGTGAAAGCCAAAGCAGTACCAAGATAAATGGGCTGCAATCTTTCGTTCCTCATCCTTGATCAATCCCCATCCCTTACTTACACTTACATGCTCTACTCACTCGAGGAAAACTCTACAAGTCAACAGGAAAGGGGGCACAGGATCTCACCACCTAGCGGGGAAAATCACTGCCATTTCCTGTGATAAAAATCTTGCACAAAACTCACAGGACTAATTAATTTGGCAGTTGACATGGCCGGAATCACCAATATATCAATCATGATATAGAGCACAAGATTATAAAGGAAGAAAATAAAGCCAGAAGGAGGTTCAGATTGTGCAAAAGCACTACAATTTACAAATGTAAAAAATGCAATGTTCATCGGCATTCAAAGTGGTTTCAGTCACCTCATGTCAAGAATTGATACACTCCATTGTCCCAAAGTTCTATATATTCAACATTTTGTTATACATTGACTATTCGTTTAAAAAAAAAACTACAAATGTGTTTTTTATCCTTTCTGGTATAATATTTCAATAAATACATAATATTAATATTAAACAAATATTATTTCAATGCTTGGTCCTTAATGGGTTAAAACTGCCACGAGAGAGAATCAGCATTTTACATTTCATATCCTTAAACTGTCTTGTCAACAGACAAACTTGCATTGCTGGGCCCTGATATTAAAAAAGTAGGTAAATCTTGTAAATTACGTTCTCTAACATATTGTTTAATCAGAATCCATATTTAGTGGGTCCTTGACACTGAAACAAATTGGTTAACTGAAAAATGAATGTCTGGTATGATCATCGCAAGCATCTAAACTGTTTAAACAATTTTCTCCAATATTGATATTCCTTGATCTGATCCAACTCAAGGCCTTGCGAGTTTGAAACGTTTTGATTTAGGAGGTACTTAACAAGAAGCCAATATTTTCAAAATTTTCTAACTCTAAAAACTCTTAAAAAACAACTTTAATTGAGGAAAGTGATTCTATACTAATTCCTTTCTTTAAACTCTTTGAATTTGAAGTTGTAGAAACTAAAATACGAGAAAGTATGTGTTGTATCACCACTGGTTTAAGTATTAATTGTTTCTGCCTATTGTTAATATTAATGCTTTTTTAATTTGTATATTTACTATGTGAAGATATCACTTGATCATTTTTTAAATATATAAATCTTCCTTTTGAGTAAGCTTTTCAAGAATGAATGAATTTTTCTTATTCCTTGGGGTTCTTGAGTCCATTATAGCATTGATATAATTGTTGCATGCTTTTGGCGACTCTCATTCAAACTAAATGATATTTTTTCTTTATGCTTTCAAATAATGTGTACGTTGTGCACATGACTAAAACATAGAAAGTGTATGTGATTAGGATTTATTACTATTTTGGGAAGTGTGGAATCCAATTACAGCTTCTCATTAGCATTTTTCTGCATAATATATATTACTTTTTAACACATGTATGGAAAAACACACACCTTATAAATTAAAATGATACAGATATAAAAGTGATAGCACCTTAATGCTACCGAATAAGATGCCATTTTCTCAAAATGTTGTTACATCCTTCAAAAACACTAACAAAATTCCACTGTATTTGGCTATAGAGATAGTATCCTTTTCTTCCTCACGTTTTCTATGATTATAGTTATAAGACACTAAACAATATGTAGAAAGAATAAACACTGTTAGTTTATACAAACATCTATAAAAATGACAATAAAACACAACACATTATATCACCCAAGAAGCAAGTTGAAGAGAAGAATATTCTGCTTTCATATAATTTAAAGCCAAATGCTACCCATTTACCAAAAAACACTATTGGCCAAGGGAATAGATCCTATTTGTTTAAAGTGAAATTGTTTCAATCAGGAAGCTAACAAGCTCCTTTCCTAAAGGTGCTCCAATTATTATCAAAAACTTCAAGAAAATCCCTCATCACAATGAAATCAAAGACACTTCCCTTAACATTAAACTTTGAATATCAGTTTCATGAAGGATATGATCAGAAAAACTTCCGCTTATACATTTTATTGGTCACATGTGTCTTTAATCCCCCGTTAACATGCAACCATTTATTCATAGCAAGTCAAGTGTTTATTAAAGAAAATATGGCAAATGTACAAAACAAATCAGAATAAAAATAACCCATATTAGCTTTTGGGATAATTAATATAAATTGTAATATTAAAAAATGTATAGTAGGTAAATTAACTTAATTTTCTTGCCATTCCACCTTATGAAACTCTTCTCTGGTTATCATATTTACAGACAATCTGAAGGTGTCGTCACTGGAAAAAAAAGAACCTTTGAAACCCCTGGAACAGAACCAGTGGCGTACCATGCCTCAGGGACCTTTTCAATGTCTTTAAGGCACATCCCTTATCTGTTAAGGGCTGTAAAGGCCATGGCCTTCAAGGGGGGAAATTGCCACAGAGGAAAGAGCACTAATGTGATGAACACAGATGAAAGTGCATTAATATGAACTAACTATGGATGTGCAAGGGTGTCCTGTATTTGTGGAAAGTTGCCTGGCATATTTTATGGACACCTTGTATTTGACAAATATGACATGCCAATTTTTTATCTGCTAATTGTATAAGTGAATTGAAAATACTAAATCTAAATGAGATTGGCAACTTAAATGCTTTATTACATGATATTGGAAAAAGATGCTGCTTGGAGAACGGAAGAGAGATTCAGTTAAGATCAATGTCTTGCTGGTAAGTATTTTTTTAAGTGTTTTTTTTCTTTCTTTTTTTCTTTTCGTTTTTTTTTTTCTTTTTTTCTTTTTGTTTTTTTTTTTCTTTTTTTCTTTATTTTTCTTTCAATTAGTGACAAAATATGTGTTTTGAAAACTAATACTAAACTCTTTTCACATACATTTTACTGTGCATTGCATTGAAGCGTCAAGGTACAAAGGTAATGAAACTAAAATTATGAAAGATCTTGAAAGTAGGATTTGGCAATTCAGAAAATGCTGACAGCATAACTACTCAAGAAGACTGTAGCGATGTGCCTGAAGGTGAAAGAAAATGTTTAGAACGTTTTGACATTGACAAAATCTCATTACTTCCGAACTGATGACCATTTATGATATTGCTGATCGAATTTGATGCAGATGGTAACTGAGATACCGAACGTGAAGGGAAATCAGCTTTACTGAAGCAGTTAAAGGTTTAGAAACTCTTATGCATTTTGTTATTTAATGTTATGTTTCTGATGAACTAATAGGTGGGTTGTTTCAAGACAAAAATTTCTGTCATAGGGACTGAGAAAAGTAAAGAATTAAATATCACAGATTTTCCCTAAAAAGTGAAAATTTTCTTTTCTTAAATCGTATATTGATATTATTACATGAATTTTATGTATTACTCCTAAAACAAAAGTACTGTCAAAACATTGTGGTTTTATTTTTCACTGAAATTTCCCTCATTCTCAGTTATGCTCTCATTTATAGTCTCCAATCCCCTGAAAAATGTCTACATGATGTTCTACTACATTTTCCAATATTTGAGTTCAGAGTGTTACTAAACAAATGTCACTTTTAAGAATAAACACTGAACTGTTACCTTTCTTTTCATTTTTGGCTTGCTGAAAAACTCTACTTTCACATCTCCCTGCAACGTCAGGTACTGGTCCAAGCGGATGCAAAGGGAGTTCGCTCCCTTCTCTGGCATATACACAGGGGAGGAGTACACCTTGTTGCTGCACTCTGAGATCACAAGCTGGAGTCCTGTGCAACACCAAAGAATCAAAATTTACCTTTATGCTAATCTTTAAATTGCAAGACAGACACTGTTAGTTAAAATTGTAAAACATTACAATCACTAATATGTGTGTAATACATGTATACATACATATTCTAATATTACAATGGTCTAATGTCAATCAATTACTATTCAACATAAAAAAATGTAAAATTATGGGATTCCACAGGGGAGAAACTGTTTTTAAATTATCCTTATTACATGGTCAACCAGATACTTGAAACTTAATGGATATAACGACTTGGGAATGATCTTTGACAGCAATTGAAGTTTTGAGAATCATCATGATTATATTAGTACAAAGCATTTAAGTTATTCTTTAATCAGGCCAATTTTATTTTATGGTTCTCAGCAATGGTCACCTTACTATCAATGGTCACTTTCCACAATATTGAGAAGGAATAGCATAAATTTTTAAATTATATGACTTGGGAAAAGAAATTTACACTCCCAGGATATCTCATATTTATTTTCAAATAACTTGTGTACTTAATGTAAGATCCTCACAATCATCTAGAATTCTCAATGACATTTATTATATTTTTCATTTATGCAATTTTCTATTTTCAGCATTATATTGAAAAACTCCAATAAGGTATCCATGTAATAATATAGCTCAAACTTTCTTTGTATCAATAGTCAAAATGAATTATTTATGCCAAGCACCTTTACAGCAGAAGTCAAGACTAGTAAATGAATACAGCAATTTGGAAATAACAAGTACCGACAGAAATTCCTTTTGTTAGAAAAGAAAAAAACAATATTCTACAAGATTCTTAAATAGTGTTATATGTGGCTCGAATGTCAACTATTTGTAATTTTCTCTACTCATGTTTCTTTTATGTAATAAACACTCTGAAAATTTTGTTTTTGATGCAGGTTTCCCATCATTTACATCGAAATAAATGAATATCATTGTAAAAGTCTGTCTGTCATTCAGCATAGTGAGCGTTTATGTGAGATCTCATTTGTAATAAATTGTAGAAATCGTCATATTTTACTACAATATTGCAGATTATCAATATTAATGGACTCATACTGCCCTTAAAATAAAAGAGAAATACGAAGCTACAGGCAAAGCTCTATCATGGATCACAGTCGTTTTCCCTCTTAAAGTATTTTAATGGATGCCCATACATTACATAATGTTAAACAGTGGGGGTGATGGTTTGTGGCAGTGTTATGCTGTGTAACATAAGAGTAGGGGATGTTAGTTAAGGATTATGTAATGTTGATATTTATTTCTTTATTTTTATAATTAATATTTTCTGAAATAATTTCTGTCACATTCTAAAACATTAAGATATTAACAAATTAAATTTAAAAAAATACGTTTTAAAGAAATTATGAAGTAATTGTTACAATATATGGAAATATTTTTTCATCAATGATATATTGATTGAATCTGTTAGATTAAAGAGAAAATATTCAAAACTGATTTGTACTATATTCCAGAGTACAATTAAATTCGCACAATAGTCTCTGGCCAAACCATCGATAGCAAGGGTATGTCTAGTCAGAAATTGTCTCGCCTGTGCATCCTTCCTTCCATGAAAAATTATCAGCAAATCTTATTGTTAGGCATGGTCAGCATCACCAACTAATTCTAACTTAAATTATCATAAATTTAAATATATACAATAAATATATTAATACAATATTTACTGTAACAATATATTTTTTAAGGGGAGGGAGGGGGGTCACGAATGTTATATTACTAAAGGAGAGTGGGGTGGTGGTTTAAATCCTTGTTACAGGGGGGGAAAGGATATTCAAAATACCCCAAATTTACATTATATAATTTATAATAATATAAGGCTTCAATTTAGAGTTAAACATTGTTGTTGGTAGCAACATTTTTTTTAATTTCATTTTATTTAAAAAAATTGACTGACCAAAGTCCTTTCCAAACAAGTTACAATGACACATTGAAGAAAGTACTTACAATTGTTACAATGTATGTTTTATGAACTCACAAGCAGTGTGGAAAAGCAATTGGTGGAGTATAAATAAGTAAAAGAAATAATGAAATCAAGTGAATTCAAGCATATCTGAATGTCACACATGATGGTTTGAAAATATCAATTTTATGAGCGTTGACTAAGGTACAAGTTCTATTTATAGAGTTTAAGAGGTTCTGAGCATATTAGTGTAAAAAAAAAAAAAAAAAACTTTTGTAGTTCTAAAATTGATAGCAGAGAATCTGAAGTTAAGTTGCTGAAGCAGAAGAGGGCTGTCAGTAATTCAATGAATTAATTTGTATAAGAAAATAAGAGATTTATAGTTCCTATAAAATTCAAGTGTAAGGATGTTGAGTGACTGAGCAGTTGCAGTGTAATCATGGCTTATACAAGTATCAGATAAGTTGAGTTTAAAAGCAGCCATTCTATAAAAGTAGTGTTGGATGGCTTCAAGACATATTATACGACAAATTTGATACGGCGACCAAATCAGAGGCAAAAGACAATGAAGAGAAAATATAACACAAAGACTCCTTATTTGATAGACAGTTTAGTAATAGGGTTGTTGGCAGTATACGTTGATACATAAATCATTAGCAAGAACATTTGATTACTTCTACAATAGTCTCAAATGAAAACCCTGAGACACTCCTGATAACACTGAAAAACTCTCGGAAAAGATAAATAACAACTCTAATAAAAAGCACTGCCGAATGGAAGTAAGGCCCCAATATATATGGGCCTGGCGGACCCAGCGGGGACAGAGAAGTGAAGCAGAGATGGAGGCAGAGGCAGGCGTGAGGTAATCGAAGCAAGTGAGAGCATACAGTAAGTCAAGAACCCGTGGATGACTAACTTGTGGATTTAGAGACATGAAAATCTGTAGAAATAGGCAGGCAATACAGGCATTTCAAAACGTAAAATAAGCATTTAAAGTGGTTCTATAAATTTTCTTACCCTTATTTATTAACTTGTGAAGCAAGTTTCTGAAGATAACAGGGGCATTTGGACAAAAAAGCCTGAATAACAATAGTTACCTTTTAGCTTTTCATTAAATGCAAGCCGATACTTAAAAGCAGCACAGATCTTTCTTCTCGCCATCAATTTAAAAATAATTGAAGAAATTGTATGATTTGTTTCAATCGGCAAGCATAACACAAATGTTGTAACTAGTGGCATTATAACAGCACATACGTTCTCGCAATAATATCTAAAAAATATTTCAAAATTTGCAATTTTCAAAACTTCAGTGAGTTCAATGAAAATGAGACCTGTTCCATTGTTTGTGTCCCATGCTCTATTCGTAGAAAAAAATTGTAGCGATTTTTGTGAATTATTTTTAAAATTTGCATTAATTATAAGCAGAAACTACAAAGAATACACTGATTTTTATACATTACTTTTTTAACTTTTAAAACAGATTTCATTGAAGACAAAAAAACCTCAGTATTCAAAATTTTTTACAAAGTTAAATTTTTCCAGTTTTCGAAAATTCAAAGTGTTTGCACAAAAAGAAAAAAATGAAAAGAAAAAAAAAGGGGGGGGACTGGCATCATTTTTTAAACTGCCCTTTGATTTTTGAAAATTTTAAGAAACCATTTTGCACCGTTTTAGAAAAAGTTTACAAATCCAATGTAAAAACTAAATCTATTACCATTAGTGATTTTGTACATTTCTTAAGACTCTCTGGTGGCAGTAAAATGGAACAAATTTCTCGATAGTTATGCAATGCTCTGTACTCATCAGGATAAAAATAAAAAAGCTACAATTTTTGATTAGAATAATTGTTTTTTGATCAAAAAATATAAAAATAGGCCACATTTAGGCATTTAAACATACAATAGACATATATAGGCACCATAAAATTAGAATATAATGCCTCAAAATAAACAAGTTACCCAAAATATTGCATTTTCCATTGAATGAACATATAGACAAATGGGCAAAAATCTCATCTTCATGATGACACACTCGCAGTGCTCCAGCGCCTGGTCCACGGAGTGATGGAGGTAAGAGTCCGGCATCTCTCAAGCTCTCCTCTCATACATCTCTCCCACCTGATATACATTATCATTTCCCCTCTCTACCCTTCCACTTTAATTAGTAATAAATATTGGGTTAAATTCAACATCGATCTCTTCTTTGAGGAGGTTGCCCTCCTCCCTTCACACGTTACAAAGTAGACCACAGTACTTACACGATGTGCCGAATTAGAATATGCTGAAATTTAGTTTCAAGGGTGGCATGTCACATCTGGTGGCAGCGGTGGAATACATCTCCCCACCTGATAAATCAGTCCCGCCCCCCTCCCTCCCATTATTCTTTTTAAAAGCTGTAGCTAGATAAGATGGCAATGCCCCTGCATGAAATCAAAAAGTAAATCATTCCAAAGGATTGTGACCATGACCTTTTTTTCATGGACTTTTAGATTCCCACCCCAAAACATAAGATTTTATTATTACTACTTTTTTTCCTTTGATCAATTAATTTCCATTTAAAATAATAATTATGTGAAATTTACTCAATTTCTCAAAAATAATTTTTATTAATAAATTTTATTTCAATTCCACAAAATTCCAACTTTGAAATAAATTTTGGTATTTTTTTAAAGCAAGTTTTAATTTTGCCGCTTGCAGGAGAAAATTTCCAAAGTAAATTAAAAAAAATAAATAATAATAATAATAATAATAATAATAATAATTCAATGGAGACAACATGAACATTACAAATATGTATGTAAATATTGGTAAATACCGTTATTTTCTGAATTGATAGCCTAAAAAGTAATACTTCAATAATTGGATCACAATCTAATGTCCACAACCCAACGCTCAATTAACAAAATACAATTTTCAGTATTACCTTGAGTTCCATTTACAGTCGGTAATGGTTCAAGTCGTATCTCCCGAATAAAAAGGCTTACCGGATGGTAAGACAACTGTTCTTGTACTAATGTGGCATAATAACCTACGTACCGCTTCTGGCTAGGAATTGTTACTCCCTGAAACAGAAACACAGCAATAAAAACCAAACGTCAAAACATATTTCAGAAATATATATAATAAGGTGACTCTGTAAATGTTTCGTATAACTCTCATGAAACCGCAAAATGTTGTACCCAACAATAACTAAATTTCACAGGAGAGCTAAAAAACTGGAAAAGCTTTCAGAGTTTCAAGTTAAGACTTTGGATTGAAACATATTTTAGGTCATTAGTAAGCTGTGGATTTTTGCACTAAGCTGTGCATAGTTTGACGAACGACTGCATTGTTTTGTTTCAAAATGTACGATACTAGAGAACATTCCTTGCCTTTTGAGGGGCTAGAATTCTCGAGGAAAGAAATCTCTTGTCCATTTGAACAATTTCAAAACAAGTGAGACCATTTTTCAGAAGATATTCTGCGAGGGTCTTGACCAAGAAGAAATTGTCACACATGACAATCTTAAAGAGTTCTTTGATGAGGTTTGGGGTGAGTTTGAACTACTCTGTCACTCACACCTAGAATTGGCCTTTCACTTTTTTCCCTTCCCAGTACATGGCAAACCATTTTGGGTATAGGAAATTCTAACATCATAGGGCTAACACACAATCATACCATACGTCTGGTTTTGATGGTATGTACAAATTTGAAATAAGCATTTTGACAACAATAATGTCTGTTCAAGTTTGGTGCAGCTTTTTCAAATTTTCATTCATTTTTTCCCACACGTCAAATTTATTCAGACATCTTGCAAACCGCGTTGTTTCAACATCAAATCGTAGAAAAGAAAGTAAGCCCTTGAAACAATTCAGGGCCATCGTTGCTCTAAATATAGGTGAGCCCGAAAAACTCTTTCACAACACTGTTCGCACATATCCCCACCACGCCTCCAACAACAGAGCTGACTCTTCTTCCTACAGACCTTGTGATTGTGACAAAATGGAAATTACCCAGAGTTCTCTCTAACCAACAGAACACATTAATTGCACAACAATGCCATGCATCCAGTTTTTAACAACCGACAGACGCAATAAACAAAAAAAAATATTTTATTTAAATTGTTTTGTGAATATGGAAATTGCCAAACATCATCGCTTACCAAAATATATTTGTATCCTCCAGACACTACATGCCCAGTTACGTTATTTTAAAACGAAATAAATATTTTCACTATGGTTTATTGATCAAATTTCGTGAAACTTCATATGTAAATGCTCCAATGTATAAGAAACAAAGTCATGAAAGTGGACACACAGGGACCTTTTAATTTACTTAAGTCAAAATAACCCACTGTGACATTGGTTGCCCGGATAAGGATTAAGAAATGTAACTTGGAAAAATAAATATCTTAGTAGAGAAGACAAACTTAAAATCTAGAGACCAATATTGACAAATGGGGCTGAAGCCAAGCTGATGCGAAGAAAAAATAACTATACCAATCAGTAGAAATGAACATATTACAATCAATAGTAGGAAAGACTTGGAGTGACAGGATAAGAAATAAGATATACAAAATCAGTGCAAAATAACTGATATTTCTAAATGTGTGACAAGGAAAAAAGAATAGAATAACCACATCACATGAATGAGCAGTGATAGACTAATGAAGATAGCGAGGGCTATGATACCATTAGACAGGAGAATTCCCGAAAGGCCACAGAAAATATGTTGAGAAGACATACTGTACACTTTAGGGAATCCTCGGTATGAAGAAGAAGAAAAAGTGGTTTACAACCTGCACAGAAGATGAAGAAATTTAGCAATTAAAAAAAATCAATAAAAAAAGAGGCCATCATAACTCTAACAAAATTCAAAGTATGTTGTTGTAAACCAATACCATGTGGTTTTGTAGGTGGCTTGGTACAGGCCTTCTCTGAGAGGATACCAACCAATGCCATCTGTAGAATTGGATATTGCATACACTCTGTTGTAATCAACTACAGAAATAAGAACTAGAACCGGGAGTGGATAAACCATTAGTTTCAGTTCATTAATAATTGCTTAGTAATAATACAAGGTTTACCCATGTGTGGAACCAGACCTTTTGATGTAATGGACGAGTAAGGACCTGGTCATCCAAAGTTACATTTCAGCATGAAGTTCATTTTCATGTTTAATCTTTACTACTCACGCATATTGAGCAAAGCTCAACATAATCTGTATACGTCCACGCTCAAAAGACAAGCAAAGTTCAACATGCACTTGCATGTCAAATTGAGCTCAACAAATTATTTCTTAGCGTTATTGCAATCTCAAACTACAAAACTTTTTTCTGCTCTTGCTCGAATCACAATCATTGACAAACGTTTGTGAGGGCAATGAAGACTTTCCCATGCTGACAACTGTAAGAAACATGGTTCATCATTTGTAGTATCGGAAAGGTACTAAAGGTACTGTTGAAGACTTTAATTGGAAACCACATAGTTCAAAGAAAAAGAAATCATACAATTCAATCACTGGATTGAATGGGAGCAAACAGGGTATAGTATCACCTGTATCTTGATGAGTGATCAACCAACAAGCACAAATATTCAGCACAGGAATTTCAGAAAGGGAAAGGAAAGAGATGAGAAACGAAGTTCATTTACCAAAAATGTAGTACTTCAAACCAGGATCTAATTTAAATCATTCATTGCAAAACTACAAAACAACATAATATGTGATAAAATATTGTGAATTTTAAGAAGCACAAATGGATTATAACAGTTATGATGTATTAATTTTCCCAAATCGCCTCGGTTTCGAAACTCATTGTAAGTGAGTAGGTATCGATCAAAGGTAGGTTAAAGTAAAGTTCAAGGCAGGGTAGAAACAAAGATGAACAAATGGTAAATTTACACATGACTGATGTGGAATTTTGAGCTCAGTTTCAAAGACATTTCTTAAAACTTATTAAGTCATTATTTGAAACACACTTTAATGTGTGAAAACAACTAAACTGTTCCAAAAAAATTAAGACAATGAATAAACTAACAATGGAGAATAAATTTTATTTGGGAAAAAAAAAAACTGTCTTCAATTTTGTAGTTTTAGGAAGACGCTGAAATAATTTCAACTTTTTTGCTTTTCAAAAATTCAAAATTTACAGTGAAAATTAGTACCTATGATATCTTCAGAAGTGTATTTCACTTAATTCTTATAAGTAATTTACAGATAAAATTGGAGCCATTTTTGAGAAAATTTCAGAAATATCCAAGGGCTGTCGTGTAAAGTAACCACAAAAATTAAAGAATGTTATTCAAAACCGCAGAGCTTCAAGTGAGGCCAGAAACTAGGGAATATTCAGTTTAGAAAAAAATTATATGCATAGTTTAGGTCCTAGTGTTGTTCACAGACAACGGATTGATTTTCCACAGCCTTCCACAACTTACTACGTTCCTATATTATGTTTATTACTCCATATATACGTACACATACAAGTAAAAAGGGACAGATAGCAACAGAGCCAAGAGGAGTAACACGAGGAGAGGAGTGAGACAGAGAGGGGGGAAAGGAGGGAGAAGTGAGACAGAAGGGAAGAGAGGGAGGGAGGAGTGAGATAAGAGATGGGCAAAGAAGAAGGAAGGAGTGAGACAGAGAGAAGGAGAATGGAATGAGACAGAGGGAGAGTGGAGTCAGAATGAAATGAGTGGAGTGAACAAGAAGTGACAAAGATAGGAGTAAGAGTGGCACGAATGGGAGAGGGTGGAGCGAATGGGACAGAACAAGCGAGAGTGAATGCGAACGAGCGAGAGAGTGAGCGAGAGGGGGCGAAAGTGAGCGAGAGCGAGAGTACGAGTTAGACGATAGATTGAGTGGAGTGAGTGAAGCGAGGGAGTGTGAGAAGCGAGGGCGTGAGAGACACACGGGTGTGAGTGATGCAAGAGAGTGAGTGTGAAGCATGGGAGTATGTGAAACGTGGGACAGAGTTAAGTGTGACAGTGAAGTAAGGGAATGTGAGTGAAATACAGGTTGCCTTGGTAAATATGGTGGGAAAATTATGAATAGTTACAAAACATAAAATACTGCTCTTGAATTCTCATAAACTATTTAAATAAATACCACAATGAATCTAGCTGAATTCTCATTATGTTGCGCATTTCATTACCCACGACTTATCGGAAAGTATTCTCACTGAAAATTGGACAAGAGCAAGGGGAACTTACAAGTACACTATAATTTCCAAGAGGATCTGAAAATGTTGCAAGGTAAAATAAAAAGATTTGCCAGATTATTAAAAAATTGTGTCAAATAATTTTGTAAAATGTGGCACTGATTAGGTTAACATTATCTTTCTTACTAGTAAAAGCAGGAACACAAATACGCGAGAAATTCATAGAATTTCCATTCCATTTCATGACATTAAGAATAACTGATCTAATATTAAATTCTTTAGCATATCATCTTTGTGTAGACAATTTAGCACCAAAACTACCGAAAAGTTATGTACGGTTTTAGAAAGTTAAAATACTGGGGACAATCATGAACATATCTGTTACATCAATATTTTATGTATGATGCTCTCAAAACCATCCAACACAGTATTAGTAAGTGCATTTTACATCACTGATAGAATTATTACAAATTTGCTTTAGAAGCAGCGTACTTACTTTCCTATCATGCGTTCTTTGTTTGGCATAGTAGTTCAGAGCATCATTGGCTCCAGTGTATTGTCGACTGTGCAGTAGGTAACAACACACCATCACCCCCGTACGACCCTGAAACAAATCATGAACAATAATAGCTGGAATTTCTTAACACACAAACTATGGGTAAACCCACTTATCCCCTACTAGAATTACAGATCACAATAGAAAAAGGAACTGGTACACACTCAAAACAAATTCCTATTGATCGACAAGTAAAATTATGCTAACATTTGGAAGTAAGCCATTCACCATTTTCTTAAAAACCAGTACAGAATTTACTTAGTTGTCGAAAAAATGAACCTAACACTAACAACTTAATTAAAAATAATTCAACTCAGAATAATTTAAGATTCAATATAACACAAAGATAATTGTACATAACAGATTAAAATTTGTTTCTAGTAAAACACACTGAACTTGCCTTGCCAGCTTTACAATGAACAGCAGCTACATTCCTTTGGTCTTTCGACAACCACTCATGAACATCTGCACAAAATGGCTTGATAAGTTCCATCTTTGGAGGATTATGATCATCAAAAGCATATATTGCCACTCTTTGATGAAACTTGCTAGAATCATATGAACGTTCTGAACACCTGCACAAAATTACAAATATACAATTTTAGAAAAAGTTACAATATTTATATGTTTATTCAAAGATCAATACAACATATATAATAAGTGTCACCTACAAGTTGTAAATTTTATAATGGTCTTTGTGTTTAGATTCTAGAAACTTAAAGACATCATCTATGTGATTTCTATAGACACCTTCCAGTTTTTCAGCAGGGAAACCCATGGCTATTAAATTATTTTTTATATCTTTTATAGGCTAAGGAGCATAATTTAATAAACAGAAGATTTCTAAGAACTTCACAAATTTATACAAATGATTGAAGATATGTCAATAGGAAAAAAGTCAGCATTCATACAAGTCATTCAAGAGTGCTGAAAGGATACAGGTTAGGTCAAGATTGAATCCATCTTGTGTATATCTCTTCCTTCGTTTGCTAACAAGATTTTTGATTGGATTGGTCATCTTCATGTTTGATATTGTATTTGCCATTCTTGAGTATTGGCAGGCGTCTTTAGAAGATGAACCCAATTCTGGTCCTCTTTGTTCCTCCACACAAACATGGAGTGGAGTAGCAGAAGCAGAAAAATTTTCAGATTTAATGTTACTGAGTTTCGACTTTCTGCAAGAAAAGCATAACCCCATAAAAATATCCACTTCACCTTCGGAGATTACGACATCAACTCGCACTTGGACTGACAAATGACACTGAAGAAAATAAAAGCATGTTTCACAAATTACACTTTCATGAACGCAATGGATTTTAAAGCAGGTAACCCGTAACTCATCCGGGACCAACACTAGTTCTGTGGATGATGGTCAATCTGTCACACAAACCGAATGAACTTCTTAACATTCGGCAAATCGTATCGGTGGCAGCTACACGAGTGAAATGCAGTTCATAGCCTCTGACATTTTGTGCGTGTCAACTGTGTCACGCTGCGTGTAAAATTCTACGAAATGGCGTCTTGAATCACAACTACTCTGTTCCCCTGTCCTCGTCTACGAGCTGCTATATCGCCGTATCGTGCTTTGTCCTGTTACCGATTCATTTCCGGAAAATCTGACGCTTCCGCTCACAGCGCTGTAGTGCACAGACGCTACAACTTTCGAGATAGCCTGTTAGAAGCATACTCTCTGGTTAGAAGTTTGTGTGTACCGTTTACGTTACCTTCACTAGTAAACTACTCTTTATTTCTCACTCAAATCAACCGTAGGTGGCATAATAATCTAAAGATAAGAGCATTTTCCGAGGCTTTGGATGAGAAGATACACTAGATATATTAATAATGAGAGACAAAGGAACTAATAGGGAAAAAGTGCGTGTTTTTTTTTGTTGATTTTTTTGTAGGTACTTGTCATACCTGCGAGCTACTGTGCCTTATAGACACTGACGTACCGTAAAATGAAATTCGATCGATGTATCACACTGCATCTTGCTGAAGACCATACGTAGCTTCTGGGAACGGCACTCTAAGATAAGGACGACGACGACTCGTAATAAAGTTGTAATTATTTTGTAGGTGGTAAAGGACGTTTCCGTAAAAGCTTTGTGATAAACATCCCTTATTTTATTATATTCTCCACAAAGTTTTAAAATATTTCATTTTCTCGAAATAAGGTATCTGGGGCAATCGCGCAATGTCGATGTTTCACGTTCAAAATGTGTCAGAGTGAAATATACGTTATGGCTTATTTTGTGGTGAAGTTGAGTACTTGTAACTCAACTGTATCTTACAACAGCAGTGAATTTTCAAGTTATTTAAGGCGTTTTTAAAATTAAAATACCTAAGGAATTATTGCATATCAATGTTTGAAACTATGTTGATCAATACTTTTAAATTTTCAATTACATTTTTTATAAACTTAACATTTTGTATATATATGATTGACCTAAACTGGTTTTATCCTACCCCAATAAGATCTAGCATTTGCTCGGAATCCTTTTACACCAAATCATTTACCTATATTAAAAAAAAGCCACACCAAATGAATTTTTTGATAATGAATAGGAATCAACAGAATATCCTCAGACGTATTGATCTGAAACCTACCTGAGACTAGTTTTAAAATCATTACTGTTGGGTTAAAATAATTTTTAACACGATTGAAAAAAGAAAAGATTTTTATTGAAATAGATATTTGCTACAGAGCACACCATACTTTGCTCCAGGTTGTTACATTTTGCTAATAGGCAGAATACAGTTTTATTCTTTGAAGATAACTGCTACAAATAGAGAAATACAATTTACTGAGAAAGAGCTGTCTCCGACCAAACAAACCATAATTTAAAAAATTAAATAGCATAGTTATATACTTCTAAAGATTACACTCTAAGAAAGAGCAACAAAAAAGATGACATCTTGCTGTACCTGAATTACAAATACTATCAATTTACACAAGAAACCTATCACACTATCTCAGCTTTCACATCCTCCATTTACACATTACTTGCGCAACACCTGTATTCTGCCTTTTTCAATACTTAAAAGATTTAAGCAAATCAACTCTCCCATATTTAACGTATTTTATGAATAAAATATACTCTAATATACACATCTGTAACAAGTCTATCAAAATAGAAATTACACAACAATGAAATGAAAATGGAAAAATTATAGCAAGTGTTCTTTTCTATATAAAATCGAAGTGAGTCTTCTTGTAAATAAAATAATTCAATGTCTAAATATCATAACATCAATTTACATCTCACATTCAACAGGAACAAGAACATCAAATAACAAGAGCAAGCCAAGTTCATAGTCGCAAAACTTGCAATTCTGTCCTTAGTAATCACATTTAATGTTGTTTTTTTTAACTTTAAGATGGAATAAAAGAGATAGTTTCAAGGCTTATGACTGCAGTTATGTTGCCTCATACTTTTGAAGATCAAACCAAACCCTTCATACTTCTTGGATCCATTTTCTGAACTATGCTCTTGGTATTCTGTTACTAACAGCAGGTGTATCTCACATGTGCACAAATAAGTGCAAATTTTAAAAATACAGTAGCAGTGTTGCTTTTATGCTTCAAAAACACCCTCAATGAACATTGCATTTTGTTGTGTCTAATTATTCCAATGACTACTGATTGACAGATTAAAAACGAAAGAGGCATACAAAAAACACATAATACGAAATAAAACGGTACAAATAATTACACAAGCTGTAAAGAATTTAGCATTACAAAGAGTATGATACAGAATACAAAATAAACTTGACAAGTTCCAAACTAAAATAAAAAGACACAATGGAAAATCTTAACTTTCTTATAACTTATAGCAATAACTAATATTCAATGATCTTTGAGGGTGCCCATTTTACTTTCCATTTTTGAACATTCTTGCAGACAGTTCATATCCCAAACTTAAATTTGCCAAAACAATTATGCCAACACAACGATCTACAATTCCAAAGAAAAAAGCCCTTCAAACATTTTTAAGCCTTTTCAGCCAAGGCACATGTCCTAAGCTGGTTTGTGCGGCTTTCTCTGAGAACAGAGGCAGGTACAAAACAGCTACCAAGCCATTCTAACTTATACTGAATGTCTTTTACTTCAAAACGTACAATCTATTCAGAATGCACTGGGTCTATATAACTAAAGATGGGCCTCATGCCCAGACTAGCCTCACCTTAGGCAACAGGCCTGAGTAGCAAACTTAAAAACAGGCCATTTCGCATGCGTGTAACAAGGAAACTTCAACAAACATTCTCCAGAGTCCAACATGACACCACCTAGAATATTTTAAAAAGCATCTGTTTTTCAATTTAGAAATGTCCTAATATTTATTGCTGTGAAGACACCAACCACTACATTTCAAGAGTTGGAATGGGTAGAACACCACAATGGAGTTTTGATTCCTTCATTTTATTCAACGACATCAAAAGGTCGTCCATTGTAATGGGTCGCAAGGCATCATGGAACACTTCTTCACCATCAATTCCATTGGATGAACTTGCAATTTCAGGCCTACAATTCAAAAAGAAAGCCATTATCATTAATCAAGATCCAATTTTGCATTATTGTGCACATTTTGCCTCAAATTCCAAAATTAGCTGCTTCATTAGATATAAAGCTATTTCAGTATTCAAAACATTGCCATACTACTCTTATGTGTAATAACAGAGGAAACAACTTGACTCCCTCACCTAATGTTTTTCAATTTGAGGTGTTATTAGAACTGTAGAGGTTCAGCACAATAAATTGTCTAATAAAGTACTATATCATATATGTAGAGCAAAGCAAATAGTATATTTGATTTATCATAAATATGATGTCGGTTTTTTAGTTATTTATTGTATAAGTGACGAAAACTGAATGTGTGCTGTAGCACAAATGTCATTATTTCCCATGAGGAAATAACAGTCTATATCAGGGTTGTCCAACTACCGGCCCGCAGTGCAATTTATTGTGGCCCACAAAAGGTTTCCAGTCATAAGTGAAAGTATGTTGCATTCATATCAGGCAAGAATATTGTCAGGGCCAAAACCCACTTAATATTAAAAAAAAATAGGTTAAATTTAGTTTTAAGAACTTTTTTTTCAAATAAATTTAGAAATTCAAAATCATCCGAATGTTTCCCTGTGCTATGCATTGTTTGGCCTGACATACACTACATGTGGAAACTTCCCCCTTCTGAGCATTTGGGCAAACCGCTGAAATAAAAAATACAAGTCAGGTGTGGTTCGCCCGAGTAATGTAAATAAGAGCCACAAACTTAAAGGTTTTAATTGTGGCCGTAAAGGCCTTGCAAGTTGGACATCACTGGTCTATATTTAAGTCTTCCCTTTAATTGATTACTTATGATTTAATTGATTTATTTGTAGTGGCACTTGACATAAGTCGGTTGTTACAGTGTCATCCAATCAGGAGCTCAAACATCACTTCAGTGACCTCACTGGGGTGATGTTTAAGCTCCCCATTGGCTGATACCATAACAGCTGATTAAATGTCAAGTACCATTATACATACATCAAAGTACATAATTCAACCTTTTAGTTCATTTCAAATGAATACAAACTTCATTATGAAAAGTTACTTACTCTTTTTGTCCCGTCTCCCTCACATAGTCTCTTACTCTGTACACTGATGCATTTCGACACATTTCACGGAGATCTGAGCCCGAGAAATTTTCTGTCAATCTCGCTAAACGATTCAAGTCTACTTCGTCTGATGTGGGTTCATGTTCAAGGATGAGGCGCAAAATTTGTCGTCGTTGATGCACATTCTGCAACACAAACAAACAACAGGTTGAAATTATGTGTACCTGAAGTTGAAAATTTCCTGCAAAAGCACTTTAACTCTTCTATTTACAAAACCCTTCAACCATTTTGTTCAGTTTTCCACTTGGTTAGAAAATTATACAATTTTGCATTTATGCTGTGTTTCAGGAAAGGGAATGTGAAAATGTTTCAATGAAATGTATTGATAAACCATTTTTACACTTCAAAGAGATTCTTTTGCAACCTTACTCTGCAATAAACAATATCTAACATTTAAAATTTAGTAAGAAAATGTAATATATCACTGTTTATATGAAACAAGCCATTTACAAAATAACATACAAATGAATTTTCATTGACATTGGTTATTTGTTCTTGCAATCACTTGAAATTAAAAGCAAACTGCTTCCTCTTCTTTATAAAAGTATATTTCCATCCCAAAAAGACAGATACTACTGTTTATTAACCTCTAATTCACTTGCCCCAGAATTTGATTATTACACAATATAACTCTTGACTCATAGTATTATGTTACACAAATAAAATTTTAATGATTTGCAAATAAAAATATCTTCTGCAAAAATTTATTTTCAAACATACAGGCATCCCAATGTGAAAGGTAGCCGGCATTCGTCTAAGAATGGCACGATCCAGGTCCTGTGGTCTATTTGTAGCTCCCATTACAATGACAGTACAGTTTGGGTCTGTGATGAGGCCATCCCACAGAGACATGAACTGGGCCTTCATCATTGCAGTGGCTTCATGATCTTGAGAGTTACGATTGCGCAGGAAGGAATCTAGGGAAAACAAACAAACAATATCATTGTAGTGCTTGTAGTGTTGTTCATTTCATTATATGCAAGACTCGTGAATCATTCAAGAGTCTTGTATAATAAAAATACATTTTCAAAATTTTAATACTACAAATTTGTTTAATTACAGAAAAATTATATTGGTTAAAAACAATTTTTAGCTTATCATATGGTATGAAACATGAAGCAGATAGAATTTTTATAAGTTGATGCTTTACATAATTCTTTCATGATATATACCGTTATTACCAGATTGTAAGCTGACCTTTTCCCCACTTTTTTGTAGTTAAAAAATTGACCCTCTGCTTAGAATCTGTATCATCTTGCTGCTATAACATAGCTGACACTAGACATCCATAAAGATATTTATTTTTGTCGGCCACACAGCCAACATGGTAGACAGTACTGATAAAACCCGCATGAAGCCACCACATGTATTAATTTGAAATATATAACTGTCTGATTAAAATTCTGAGTGACGGTTGGGGTAAAGCAATGTTACCTTACTCACGACACGCATGTGGTTCTGGCCACCAAGCCAGTCATTCTTTTTCAGCAATCTCGGTTTAGTCTACTGCAAATGTGCGCTTGGATAGATGACGCCTGGAAGAGTATTTCAAAAGTCGTCGCAAGGGCTTTTAAAAAGTGTTCAATCTCAAAAGCCTTTGACAGCAGTGAAGATGACTTTCTTTTCATGGAAACAATTTTCGAAGAGTCAATTGAGGAATCTGTTGTCTGATGACGGCACCTGAGTCAATGATTTCTAAAATGTATAGAAATCAGTGGTCTCGGGCGTTAAGCATAAAATGCATTTCTAGCACTTAAATAAATAAATTTCCTTTTTTTCATTATATGATTCATTATTCCTTGGGTTCAGCTTACAATCAAGTAAATACGGTAATTAACATTTAACATTGCCTACATAACGCACCCATGTGCAAGAACTGTTCGCAGACAATATACGTAATAAGGATCTTTCTCTTGCAGGAGACTTGCTTCTTGGTGAGTTTCGTATGGATTGTATACTTAACATTGTCTTGTCCTAGTTTGCATCAAGAGCCTAATACATGCTGGATCATCTCATGTCCTTGACTGTACATTCTGCATTTCACTACTCCAAAATATTCAACTATGTTTCAGATATTGTTGCTGTAATTGCTAAGATTCAGTTTTTGTTACTAAAATTTTGTCTTGGACTGCAATAAGGTGGTGTTCAGCTTCAAGATACAAATATCCCAGTGAATCTCTTGTACAACATGACTACTACATTTTGATTGGTTACTGCTGTAGGATATACTCCATGGAATGACTTCAGCTTCCCTTTCTCTATTAATTCTCCTTCCATTGTGGCAAATACTTGACACGTCTAAAGCTGAGAGAAGAATAAATACTTTCTGTCTGTGGAACTATCTTATGCAGTTGCATGGTCAGGGCTTTATTTTTGTAATACCATATCAAATGATTAATTGGGTACATGTGTAAGATTGGGAAGTTCACAACCCCATCCTCCATTCTTCCTCAGTGCCATGACCATGAGAACCTTGGTGTGGTCATATCTCAATCACCCCATTTTCCACTCTTATAGATCTTTCCGTAGCTTTGATATTACTCTTGGCCCTTTTCACAAAGCAATATGTCAGTATTGATGCAATGTAGGTACTATTAGTGGCTATTATAGTTTATGAGTTGATGATTATTATTAATAAGAATCAAAATTTTAGAATTTTAACATCATATTAGACTTTTTGAGAAGTAAATTTAGCCATATTTGTTTTTATTTTTGATATTAGAATTAGACTGAACAATAATTGCAATAAATAAGAAATTTAAATTATTAACTCATTTATTCAATGTTTTGCGTTCCTAACTCAAGAAAAGTTCTTAAAAAGCATAATCAATTTAAGAACAATTTTTATCTTCTTAAATGTATTCTTGAAAATTAGCAATTACAGCCATGTACAATCCCAAAATATCTTGTGTGGAGGATTTTCTATTGTCTCTCAATGCATACTTGCTACAAAAAAAGTATTTGCTCAATGTAACGAAGTCAATGAAGCATACTTCATAGAGGCCACAGCTCTCCATCTCCAAGGTATTTCTTTTTTTAAAAGATGTTATTGATAAAAAATGATAAATAAAACAGGTAAAACTCAGGTTCAGGACATGAGCCCTAATTATTAAATATTACAAAACAATTTAATTAATCTTTTTGATGGTGCTAAAGACATATTTAGGCCTTGGCCTGTTGTCCGCATACTTGCAGTAGTTTTGAGATTCTTCAAGCCATACAAAATAGTTCTGTCAAATAAAAAACAAGTTATATAATTTATCGCTTCTTGAGCACAATATGCATTGCATGAACCTTTCCTTTCTTTTTGAAATCAGTTGCAATTTCTGTTATTGATTGCACCTGAATATCTTGCCTTATAATGAAATTTTCACAACCCAGTTTCATTCAAGTGGGAGTTCAAAAACGTCACTCGTTCAAGCTCCCAATTGGATGAAACCATCAACAGCTAACATCTGCCAGGGGCAGTTGCATATATAACACTATAATTTGTCATATCTAATGTAATCTAATGGCAATAAAAATTTCATATCAAATGTTTCTACTACCTGTAATCTTTTAGTTTTTAATCCGTACAATAGTAGTGTTAAAATTTAAAAGAAAGTTATTTGTTACTTTTCTAGTTTTCCTTATGAGAGATATTCTTATAGCTCCTCATATTCTTTGAAAGTTATTGGTTTAATGGTAATGTCTTTGTCTTCTTCATATGTAATACCACATCTCAAATATTTGAAGTGAAACTCGTGTACAACATATAGGTGGCCAATTATGATATTTTTTCCCAGACCAGGCCTTTTCCAAGGACTTGATCTTCTGTTTCTTGATTTTTCTATTGTAAATAAATAATTATAGTAAATAATATATTCTATTGTAAATAAATTAATAGATTCAGAGAAGTCATTTTAAAAAGCTACCACTTTGACATGTCGGGAAACAAATGAACAATATGACATAAGGTAATGACAGTGCAAGAGATAGTGATGAAGTCACTAGAAGGTAGTTATCTTTCTATAACAGATCATACTTAAGATCCTCATAATGTACAGCACACTTTTCTTCCGATATTACATTGATCAGTGCTATATCATTTTCTCTTCTGTTTAGATATTTCATCATTTAATACACAAATTCTTATCAGCCATGAATATCGTCTACTTGACATATGATATTATCCCAGGAAGCCTTAAGCATTTGTCGTTTTTAATAAAATCAGTCATTCCACAGTCATTTCTTATCTTATTCCTCGATCTTTTTTTAGCTTTATCTGTTTACTTTTGTGAATATTTGCAGTATGCTTATTGGGCTTTTTTAATCCTCAATAGCTTGCTTTGTCTCCTCATTCAAAAACTTCCCTTTGTCTTTTTTAATTCAAGGACCCCAATTTATAGTTGCATTGGACAGATGGCTGCAATAAACATGAACAAGTTTTACCATTTTATTAACATATTAATTAGATTACGAATTTTCATGACAAATCAGTCACATACAAATTTACACCTTTCACCATGAAACAACACCGATTGAAGCACTGCATTATGGAATGTTGTTACACTGAATAAAGAAACATAAGTATAGCAGTGTTATACAACGGCAGGGAAGCACATCATTGCTGAGTGCTTGCTGACTGCAATACTAACATGTTTATATGTGTTTTTTAACCATAAAAGTAAAATTGTCATAGAATTTCTTCATTTTTCTCAAGATCTTGAGTTAATAAGTACTTGAAGGAGACATTCTGCAGTCTTTCAGACACTGTAGTTCAGTCACCCTCAACACAGTAGTTTCAAGGGACAGTTAAAAAAAAAAAGTAATAATTTCTCAAATAAAATACATACCTATTTCATCGATGAATATAGTACAGGGTTGCAATTTAACTGCTAAAGTAAATACAGCTGCTGCTAATTTCTGGCTTTCTCCATACCACTTGTCAGTTAGGATGGACACATCTAAATTGATAAAATGAGTTCCAGCTTCTTTGGCAGTTGCTTTTGCTATCAATGTCTTACCACATCCAGGGGGACCATGTAAAAGAACTCCTGGAAAATCATATTTTACTCGTTATAAAACGAAAGGACTTTTTTTTTTTTTTTTTTTTTTGCAATAGATGGAATAAAAATAATAATAATGAATGTGAATAAGCGTTACATGTACCTTTTGGAGGCTGAGTAAGTTGGGAATCAGCAAAAAGTTCTTTTCTCTTAATTGGCAAAATAACAGTTTCCCTGAGTTCCTGAATAACATCTTCTAAACCAGCTATGTCCGACCACGAAACAGGAATTTCAGAGGGATCCACCAAATGTCCAGCAATCACCATTTCATATTCTGTGAGCTGTCATTCACAAAATAAATTTATTTGTGTGAACAAGTTTAAGAAGTGACATTTATAAAATGTTTCTTCTCTTACCTGAGATATGCCAGCATGTTTACTTTGAGTGATACCAAGGCGTTTCAATTGTTCTTCAGCCTAGAAAATATTGGAAAAAATTTAATTTCTGGAGATTACTCGTGAATTTCGCTGCATCATTGAGGCACAAGATGATCTTTGTTATCAGTACGACAAATACTAGTAATTAATTAGTGATATGCATATTCAAATAACATTAAAAGAATATTACAAATCAAACGAAAAATAATCCGTAGAACCGCAATGACAAGGCGAGGTCAATTCAAGTTCCTTAATTTGTCCTAAAAAACTACAGTAACATCGTCTGTCAATAACTACATTTAATATTCTAGATAATTCTGAAAGAAACCGAATTACCTTCTTTTTGGCCTTTTTCTTGTGCTTGCTGGTAGGATCCAGCTGATTTATCATCCACCTTACGCTTAGAAAAGTCACTGCAGTAAAAAGTGAAAGTCTGACGATTAAACTAATCATTTCAACTCTCGAAAACGTCTGTGAATCACTCATTTTCGGAAAATATTACAGATGTACTGCACTAAATGAACAAATGCACTAAATTGAGATTTTCACACTGCCCGATGTTCAGCCAGTCTCCAACGGGCTCTCATTTACACGCGTTCTTCCCTGAATATTTATTGTTCGCTGGTCACTATTTTGTTACTGCGATTTCCCAAAAGGTCGCATCCCTATCGTTGGAGACGGAAGATAACAAAGAGTAATTATTTCTATGTTCCATTAATGACATATATTACCGTGCAAAGTAACTAACGTTTTTATCGCAAAGCATACATTACGCAATAAATTAAGACTAAAAAGGTGCTTCAATTAATGGCGTTGTAAGAAGTGCCTGAATTGCCAAGTTCAAAGTTGACACACCTGTGAAAATGACCGAGTCCCGAAACGAATCGACTCTGCAGACGCAAGATCGGTGAACGAATGCGAAGAACGAGTAATGACAACGAGGACATGTTTCGTAATTGAAATAACGTCACGTTTTAATTGCTAAAAAAAAAAGATGCGCAAGATTCTCGCACGGTAGACGTGAAACTTGGAGCTAATAGAAGTTGATTTGATACATAATTTTTAATTTTTTCTTTCGGTAACGGTTTATTATTATTATTATTATTATTATTATTATTATTATTATTATTATTATTATTATTATTATTACTATTATTATTATTATTTTGTTTATTCTCAAAGTTTTTGGTTTCACATGGATACCACACAGATACAATAACAAAGCATGGTAACACTGAAATATTTAAAATCTACAAAACAAATTAAGGCATTCTAACACATAAACATAAAACGTGTTTTCAGATGTAAACATAAAATAACAGTTTTCAAATGCTAATAGCAAACACAATTTAAAGAATGAGCTTTCAAAATCCAACATGTCCTTCCATGAATCTCCTGACTAGTGAGCAGGTACTGATTATAACCGACAACTGGAGGCCGATGATAATGCTCTTCTTCAAGCAGAGTTCTTCCAGTAATCAGCAGAGTGTTTTTGGTATCACGCCAGTTGCTGACAGTACAATTGGGATAGTTTTCTCTTCTGACACTCGCCATTGTTCTTTAAAGGCAAATACTAGTTCTCTGTATTTGTCGATTTTAGTCTGGTATGTTGTCATCATGTTGCTGGTATTGGCGACTGCAAAATCAATAAACCAAACTTTCTTAGCAGATTTGTCCCAAAGAGTAATATCAGGTCTGTTGTGCTGAATTGTCCTGTCAGTCAGAATACTGCGGTCCCAGTATAACTTATGTGTCTCATTTTCTAGTACTGCTTCTGGATGATACTGGTAGTATGGTACATCCACTTTCTGAGGTAGCCTGTGTTTTATAGCTAGTTTGGAATGGATGATGTGGCCCACTTGATCGTGTCTCACTTTATAGTCAGTGGGAGCTAGACAGCTACAGCCTGATATAAAATGCTAAACAGTTTCATGATCTCAACCACACATTCGGCATTCATCCGTTAGTACTCCTGGGTCTTTGATGATATATTTTGGGCAATTCTTTGTGGGAATCACCTGATTTTGTATTGCTATCATGAAACCTTCGCTCTCAAGGGACAAATATCCTATACTGAGCCATTTGTACGACATTTCTTGGTCGACATTTCGATTGGCTACTCAGAAGGATATGCACCGTGGAGTGCTTTCTATTTCCAGGAATCGTTAATAATATATTTATTATTATTATTATTATTATTATTATTATTATTATTATCATCATCATCTTTATTCACAACTTTCTGGTACTGTATAATCACACATATGAAAACATTATTATATTTTTGATTTGATTATAGCACATATAAAATATAAAAAAAATGAAAGACAAAAATGGTTAAACAATTATTACATTACATATTCATTATAAAAAATAATACACAATTGTATTTCTCCATATCAAACTTAACATTATTTCTACATTTTTCACTTGTGAATTTTCTGACCATAGAGCACGTATTGATGATTACAGCTTTCTGAATGTTGATAATTATATTTTTATTAATATTCAAATCCTTCAATCTCTTAATGGTGACCTTAGGCACGATGCTATAGGCTGACGATACTATGGGTATAATCTTGGTATGTGTTTGAACCGTTCTTCCCTCACAATGTGGACCAGTTCTCTATATTTTTCCAACTTCGTCTGGTAGGTTGTCATGATGTTATTTGTGTTTACGGCAAATGGTGATATCCGATCTATTGTGATGGGCGGTTTTATCCGTCAGAATGCTGCGGTTTTTTAATATATTTTGAAGGTCTCATTCTCTAGGACCGTTTTTGGTTGGTACTGATAGTATGGTGTATTATCTCACAAGAGGGCATACATCTTGACAAGTTTGGCGTGAATAATTCGCCCCATGTTGGCATGCCTCAGTAACTCAGTACGTGCTAACATACTACAGCCTGCTAATATGTGTTGGGTTGTTTCAGGACCTTGGCCTCTATTCAACAATTCCTTTACCAATCTTGGATCTTTTATTATACATTTTAGATTTTTTGTAGTTATTACTTGATCAAGTATTGGCACAATAAGCCGTTCACTCTCTGGGTGTAAGTACCCTACTGAGAGCCATTTGTACGATATGTCAGCATCTATAGTTTGATTGGCTATTACTGCTGGGTACACACCGCAGAGTGAGTTCTGCTTCCATTTGTTTATTTCGTTCTCCCATGATGATTGCTTAGATGCATGTCAAGTCTAAGATCGAGAGGGGTGTAATTATCGTCTGCCTGTAGGACTACATCATCAAGCGATGACGTGGCTTTATTTCTGAAATAATCTCTCAGGGAATTAATTTGCTTGATATGCAAATTTGAGAGGCTAACAATACCCTGTCCCCCCGTTCTTTCTCGGCAGTGTGACTCGCAGCATCTGTAGAAGTACTGCATCTCATCTGTGTAGTACACATCTGGGATGGTGAAATCTGAAGCGAGTCATATGTACTCTTATGGATCTTTCCATGGCTTCGAGATCTGCCTTGGACCATTTGATGATACCCATAGTAATGATAGTATGCACGCGCTGGTATTGCAAAGGTATTAATAACTGCTGTAAGGTTCCGTGAACTGAAGGATTGCAAGATATTTGTAGAAGACGTTTTTTCCTGTTATCGTCTCTTTATAGTATAAAGTCTCATAGTTAACATTGTCTGTAAGTTTGCCCTTTATTATGCTTTGGATTTTGCATTAGTCAATTCCCAGTTGCAATCCCGAATCGATAGAAAATTTGTAGGTTATTTCCAATAGCTTTTCCAGTCCACGTTCTGAATACGAGTACAACATAACACTTGATGGTTTTACTACGTCTATGAAGTACAGGTGGGTCACAGACGTTTACAACTTTTACGGCAAATATTTCCATGGAACTCCTCATAACTGCACAGATTTTGGCGTGAATTTGCTAGGACGGTCCTAGAATTTAGAAATACACGTGGACGCGCGGAAAAATATTTTTATTTTTGGGCATATTACAGTAAAACTTTCTTACAACCAGGAACTTTTGGACGTAGGGAGGTATTTTAATGTTTTCATAGGGATCGAAAAGAGGGGTCTATTTTCCAGATCGTAGCGTGCATGTTTTCGGCATTTCCTCTGAACATTGACTACTCCATTTCGTATTCGCTTACTCTTTGGAACGCTTCGATTACAGCAATATCTGATCTAATATTTTCAATTTTCTTGTGCAGTCTTTTTCTTGTGCAAATGGTTCTGTCTTGCCGCGGTATGCCTGCGATTCTTGGGTTTCGATCATCTTTCGGGCGTTCATTCTGACGGTTGCTACCGTCACACAATGGATCACAGAGACAAATCTTGGTATGCTTTAATTTCTTTACACTTGTAGGGCAGTATTTGCTCATTTGCTATTGTCACCGACAATACTAGCTTTTTCGAGTTGTGTTGTTTGGGAACCCGTGGTCTGTAGTATGGGTCAAGACCCTCAAATTCTACCGTTGCCACTTGATTTCTGATATTAAACCCTCACTCAAGGTGTCTTCTCTATTTGATTCGGGATCCCTACGGGTTGAGTGGGATCCCTACGCTGAAGAGTGGGACTGTGAAAGCAGGGCCCGGGATTTGGTCGGATTCTTGGAATGAAACTGAATGAAATCGATGTTACTAATTATCAATGTTCAAAATTAAAACATAGATGTTCATTAAAGAAGGCCATAACATCTCCGCTTTTCTTCTTTCTCGCACTTACTAACGTAAGCAGAGAAAGTATTGTAATTGTGTCCCAGAAAACGGTGAATTTTCGACAGAAAACTATTATTGCCGAGCCGTGGGAACTAAAAAGTGGATAAATCCTGTTGCTAAAAATACATAGAGACGGCGAGAGATGGAGACAGATAGAGAGAGAGAGAGAGAGAGAGAGAGAGAGAGAGAGAGAGAGAGACAGACAGACAGACAGACAGACAGAAAGTGTCAGATAGAGGGAGATGGATACCGTGAAACAGAGACAGACATATTCAGACAGAGACATAGGCAGAAAAAGGCAGATAGAGACAGAGACGTAGGGAGAGAAAAAGAGACATAGAAAGAGGTAGATAGATAGATAGATAGAGAGAGAGAGAGAGAGAGAGAGAGTCAAGAGACACAGTAAAAGAGGGACAAAGACAGAACGGTACAGAGAAAGAGAGAGACTAAAAGAGAGAAACGGAGAGACCGAGCCACAGAGATGCAGATACAGTGAGAGGCAGATACAGAGAAAGACATATGCAGAGAGAGACAGACAGTGGCAGGCAGAGGCAATCACAGACAGACACGCAGACAGAGACGCAGAGAGAAACAGAGAGACATGGAGAGACGGATGGAGACAGGGAAAGGGACAGAGAGATGTAGACAGAGAGACTGAGAAGCAGAGAGAGACATAGTCAAACAGATTGAGATAGGGGCAGAGAGAGACGGTGAGAGAAACGGCGCGTAAGTGAGACCCAGAGGCAGAGAGAAACAAACACAGAGAGACAGACAGAAAGAGGGTCAGTCAGAGAGAAGAGATAGACAGACCCAGGCAGAAGAAGACAGGCAGACAGAGTCAGAGACGCAGAGAGAGAGAGAGAGAGAGAGAGAGAGAGAGAGAGAGAGAGAGAAACAAGGAGAATCAGAGAGTGAGAGAGACAAATAGAGAGCGACAGAGAGACAGAAAGAGACAAGATATAAGAGGCAGAGAGAGACAGATAAAGATACAGAGAGAGACACGGAGACGTTTCCTTTTTCACAAGGATTGATTATGAAGGTTCATAATAGCGTATGAGTATCAATATAATAGGTGTCGTTTTGATCATCTTTAAAATTCTGAAATATAATATATTATTAAAGATTCGGTGCCGAAAAGCAGCAAAGGAAACAGAAGCAAGTGTGTGGAAGCAATTTCAAGAATTTTGTGAAGAAAGAAAATACAAATGGACAGCA